AGCTATCCTCAGCACCGGCTCACAGTTTGCTTATGTGAGGAGTTTTACCCCTTTCCCAGTGTCACCATAAATCAGATGATTTATAATGGCGTCCTCGCAGGATTGTAACTTCTGCTTTTGTTATTAGCCCATAAGAGTGGCTTTGACTGACTGCTCATTTTCTACACGCCACAGTCCAAAGACTCTGTTCATGAGGCTCAACTGCTTTTTGACACAATGTGAGAAAATAGTTTCCTGCAAAGTAAAAAGAATGACTCAGGGTAAAGCAGTGTACGCCAGGGATCGTACTGTATGTATACAGTACTTACTGTATATACTTGTATGTGTTTATACAGTACTTACTGTATATGTGTTTGTACAGTACTTATACTCACTGTATATGTGTGTATACAGTACTTACTGTATATCCATCCATCCATCCATTTTCTTCTGCTTCATCCGTTGCCGGGTCGCGGGGGCAGCAGTCTAAGCAGAGACGCCCAGACTTCCCTATCCACACACACTTCCTCCAGCTCGTCCGGGGGGACTCCAAGAAGTTCCCAGGCCAGCTGAGAGACATAGTTCCTCCAGCGTGTCCTGGGTCTTCCCCGGGGCCTCCTCCCGGTGGGACGTGCCCGGAACACCTCCCCAGGAAGGCGTCCCAGGAGGCATCCGGAACAGATGCCCAAGCCACCTCAACTGGTTCCTCTCGACGTCGAGTAGCAGCGGCTTTACTCCGAGCTCCTCCCGTGTGACTGAGCTCCTCACCCTATCTCTAAGGGAGCGCCCAGCCACTCTGCGGAGGAAGCTCATTTCGACCGCTTGTATCCGCGATCTTGTTCTTTCGGTCATTACCCAAAGCTCATGACCATAGGTGAGGGAGGGAACAAAGATTGACCGGTAAATCGAGAGCTTTGCCTTTCGGCTCAGCTCCCTCTTTACCACAACGGTTCGATACAGCGACCGCATCACAACCACCTTGGTGACCTCTGCCAGGGAGATGGAAGTATCCGCCCCAACATCCTCAGCCTCTGCCTCCGGGGCAGAGGACGTGACGGGGGGATTGAGGAGAACCTCGAAGTATTCCTTCCACCGTCCGACAATATTCCCAGACGAGGTCAGCAGCTCACCCCCCGCACCGTACACGATGTTGGCAAAGAACTGCTTCCCCCTCCTGAGGCGCCGGACAGTATGCCAGAATCTCTTCGAGGCCGACCGATAGTCATGCTCCATGGACTCTCCGAACTCCTCCCAATCCCGGGTTTTTGCCTCTGCAACAGCCCGGGCCACGGCACGCTGGGCCAGCCGGTACTGGACAGCTGCCTCAGGAGCTGAGGCAGCTGTTACCGCCGGGGGTTGCCGGCAGGACCAGCACCAGAGACCTTGCGACCACAGCTACGAGCCGCCGCATCGGCGATAGAGGAAGAGAACATGGTCCACTCAGACTCGATATCCCCCTCCCCTCCTGGGAGAAGCTCTCCCGGAGGTGTGAGTTGAAAGTCCGTCTGACAGGGGTCTCAGCGAGACGTTCCCAGCAGACCCTCACTACACGCTTGGGCCTGCCAGGTCTGACCGGCCTCCTCCCCTGCCAGCGGATCCAACTCACGACCAGGTGATGATCGGTTGACAGCTCCGCCCCTCTCTTTACCCGAGTGTCCGAAACACGCGGTCGAAGGTCAGATGATACGACAACAAAGTCGATCATCGACCTCCGGCCTAGGGTGTCCTGGTGCCACGTGCACTGGTGGACACCCTTGTGCTCAAACATGGTGTTCGTGATGGACAAACCGTGACTAGCACAGAAGTCCAACAACTGAACACTAGGGCTGGGACAACGCGTCGACGTAATCGGTGACGTCGACGCAAAAAATACACCGACGTATAATATGCGCGTCGGTGCGTCACACACAAAACAAAGATGGCGGCGAGCGGTAGCAATGCGAGTGCCGTGTTAGAGAAGTGCAAGCCGGTGTAACGCTGAGATACACTGCCTTGAAGAGATGCACAGCCTCAGCTGTTTATCATGTAATGCAAACCTGTACATGCGCGTCTCACGGCAGCCAAAGCAAACCAAGATGGCGGACCGTGAATTTCTTTAAAAGTTAAAATACGAACGAATTCACACACAAATGTCACTTTTAATGCGATTTCAGGCGAGATGTTGATGGTTCCGTTTTGTCACATGTGGGTTTTAAGAGTCAAAGTTTCGTGCAAAGTTTAGTTTAAGCAGTCAACTGCGCCTGTGAAACCACAAAGCTAATGTTTTCATTACAACTAGTCTGTCTTTCTTTGTATCAAACGAAATATTGGCGCCCGTAATAGCCCCTACATGTATTATTCACTGTCATGCCCGCCGTATATATGGACATTTTTCAACATGTGTTCAATATCCTTAATGCGTTTAACTGTTGATTGATTCTCTGATCTGTGTTGGTGACTTCAATGTTGTTTTAAGTCCTCTGAGATGACTTCTACTGTATTCTTTCAGTAACTCTAAAAGAAAGGATGACTGGTTGACCTTTTTATTTGCTACACAATGCATTGTTTTTCTCTTGTACACTCTTACTTGAATTTTATTTTTGAATTTTGAGTTTAAGAAAAAGGTGAGTGGCAGAGTTTTGACTGACATGTGCGTCCCACAGTCACCAACCTTGGCGTCACTATAGACAGTGATTTTAAATTTGACAAGCAGGTCAACAGTGTTTTAAAATCGAGTTTTTATCATCTGCGGCTTTTATCCAAGGTTAAAACTTTTTTATCTTTTAACCTTTTTGAAAAAGTTATGCACGCTTTTATTTCTTCACGTCTGGACTACTGTAACGCACTCTACTCCGGTATTTCACACAAGGCACTTCACCGGCTACAGTTAGTCCAGAACTTTGCGGCACGGCTTTTAACAGGAACCAAAAAGCGCGACCACATCACTCCCGTCCTTGCGTCCTTGCACTGGCTTCCTGTTCATTTTAGAATTGATTTTAAGATTTTATTGTTTGTTTTTAAAGCTCTGAATGGACTGGCCCCTCCTTACATCTCGGACCTCATCCAGATTTACCACCCGCCCCGCGCACTGAGGTCCGAGAGCCAGCTCCAGCTCGTGGTGCCTAAGACGAGACTTAAAACCCGGGGGGACAGGGCCTTCTCTGTGGCTGGACCAAAGCTCTGGAACGCCCTGCCCCCCCACGTCAAAACAGCTCCCTCGTTGGAATGTTTTTAAGTCACGTCTTAAGACCCACTTTTATTCTCTGGCTTTTAACACCGCGTGAGTCGTGTGGTCCTCTGTGTTTTTATTTTATTTTATTTATTTATGTATTTTCTTATATAAATGTGTGTATTTATTTATTTGTTGCAATTTTGCATGTTGTGCAGCACTTTGGAAACTGCGTGTTTATGAAATGTGCTATATAAATAAAGTGGATTGGATTGGATTGGATTGTTATTTTTATATGAATGAAGAATTTAAGAGATGCACTTTAATTAATGGACTTCAGTAATATAGGCCTATGTGTCTTCAACTTAAATATTAAACTCTGTTGGTTCAGGAAGGACGCCATGACAGGCTGATGGCTCCCACTGTTTTTGCTGGAAAAGCACTCTTTGTTTAGCTTAAAGCCTTCAAGTTTACATTGGTTACTGTTTTCTTTTAGTTGCTCTACACAAGTATTTGGCTGAACTTTTTCATATTTTTATTGAATGCTAAGCATCAAATGTTTGTTTCAAGAATGATAAGATGCACTTTTTTCAGTAAGCTGTGTTTTCAAGGCTTTAAGGTTTTATGCTACCTCTAAGAATGTCTTATTTTTGAATTTTAAGAGCAAGCAATAAATATTTTTTGTGAAGGAATTCATGTTTTTTTCATTAAAATATTTAAATCAACATGTATACATCAATATTAGTCAATTAATGGGGAGATAATCGAGAATCGAATCGAATCAAAATCGAATCGAAGCGAAAAAAATAATCGTTAGATTAATCGATGCATCGAAAAAATAATCGCTAGATTAATCGTTTAAAAAATAATCGTTTATCCCAGCCCTACTGAGCACCACTCGGGTTCAGATCAGGGGGGCCATTCTTCCCGATTACCCCTCTCCGTTGGGTGTGCGGACTGGGTCGCCGAGGTCTCCGCCTTCGACTGCTGCCCAGTCCTCTCTGCACCGAGCCGCCACGGACCCCTCTGCGGGTGGTGGGCCCACAGGAGGGACTGCCCACGTCGTCCTTTCGGGCTGAGCCCGGCCGGGCCCCGTGGGCTAAGGCCCGGCCACCAGGCGCTCGCTTTCGGGCCCCGACCCCAGGCCTGGCTCCAGGGTGGGGCCCCGGATATACTTACTGTATACTTACTGTATATGTGTTCATACAGTACTTACTGTACAGTATATTATACTATATAAAGGTGCATGTTTAAGTTTGATTTGGTCCATTGTCTTTAATGCACTGGTCTTGATCTATCAGTGTCAACATTTAGTATGTTCTATGATACTTCATTGAAGATAAATATTCTTCCATATACAGTAGTAACATTACTATGTAATTTTCACTGCAAAGTTCAGTCACAGCCAGTTTTATTCAATAAATGTGTGATCAAAAGAGAAGTTTGAGACAAAAGCAGATCACTGAATCTTAGCATTTATATATTTTCTGTTTTTAAACATGCTGAGAGCAGCGTGTCCACTATGGTCTGTGCAGTGGACTTTGAAGAGTGAATAATTCTGTTGACTTCTCTCCCCAAAGACTAAAGGAGGAGAGACTTGAAAGTCTTGGCATCACTAGAACAGCAAGATCAATTCTCCAAAGTTAAAAGTGCAGCAGCATGTCTATGCAAAGAGAGCAATGATGCACCAGCCTCTTGACCTTCACACTTCCTGTTGTTCTGCAAGTTTACTTCTAAACCCTGGCGTAGCTGTCAGAGGACTGTGCCCCCACTTTGAATTCCTCTTTAACAAAAGCACATCACAATCTAAAAGACAACAGTCCTATTGGTTACTGTGATTTTATCCAACACTGACATTTCTCTATGATTGCAGGAGAACCCGTACCTGTGCAGTGATGAGTGTGACGCCTCAAACCCAGACCTGGCTCATCCTCCGCAGCTGATGCAAGACCGCGAGCGCAACGGCCTCATCACCTACTGGCAGACGGTGACGTGGAGGCGCCACCCTGAGCCGCTTCTGGCTAACATCACTCTGTCGTGGAACAAGACTCTGGAGCTCACTGACGACCTGCACATCACCTTTGAGTACGGCCGGCCCACCATCATGGTGCTGGACAAGTCCATGGACCACGGCCGCACGTGGCAGCCATACCAGTACTACGCCGACGACTGTCTGGACAACTTCAACATGCAACCAAAGCGAGTGCGGGACCTCAGCCCCACCAACATCACCAGAGTCATCTGCACAGAGCAGTACTCTCGCTGGGTCGGCTCCAAGAACGAGAAGAACGTCAAGTTTGAGGTTCGGGCTCGATTTGCTGTGTTTGCCGGAGCCCGACTTCAGCAAATGGACAATCTGTACACGCGCATGGAGAGTATGAAGGGTCTGAGGGACTTCTTCACCTTCACCAACCTGAGGCTGCGGCTGCTCAGGCCGGCGCTCGGAGGCACCTACGTCCAAAGAGACAATCTGCTCAAATACTTCTACGCCATCTCCAACATCGATGTCCCGGCCAGGTCAGAACCACACACACATAACACACAATAATGTGCACTTGTGGTATCTCCGGGCCTTGAGAAATGAAAGTACGCAGTAAAGTCGTATTTTTATCAAATTCAATAGTGCAATCATTATTTAACATTCTTTAAAGCTTATACAATACCACAGTTTGAGGTCAACTAAGAAGAGCATACTTTAGCATTATAATGATATTTTGTGACATTTTTCCTGAATTCTAAAAAAGACAGAGAGAGTGGGGAGAATGACCCGAGGGTCTTTTTAAAGAGTATTGTTTTAATTACTCTTTAGCATCAGTAGGGCAGAATTAGCCTGTCAGATGAAAGGGCACATTGTTATATTAACATATATATTAAGCAAAGAGACATCAAAAAAATATGTAAAGGATTGTGTTACGTGTGAACCTGACCAATAAATATGAAGATACACACATTATCAGACGATTTACTCTGAAACGTGAAGAAGGAGAAAAGCGGCAGGTGACAGACAGCCCCGACACGCTCGCACAGGCAGTGTGATCCGAGGGCGCCGCTGTGACCCCGCCGCTGTCGCCGTGGATCCTCGCGGGCCAATGATTAATGACAGAAACACGGGGCCTCAGTGGTCCGACGTGAGAGCGTACTCTGCCAGGGGAACCAGAAAGCCTTACATGGCAACTTTGTGACAGTGAAGAATGCTGCGGCCCATCACACGCCTGCTTAGCATCAACAAGCCATCTCTCCACCGCTCACAATTATTATTCCAATCGATACGGCCGGCTGACATTTGAATGGTATTTAACATGCTTGTTGGGATGGCTGCGAATGGGAGGAAGGATGGACTGACGAGCGGCGGTGGACAGGGGTGAGAAGGGGAAGATGAGCGAGAGCTGGAGATGAGAGCGCAGGTCTGTGTTTGATGAAGTCCTGAGTGAATGCTGACACAGCGCACTCACAGACAAACATCCCTGTGGTGCGGCGCGAAAAGTGCCTGCAGGTATTGATCACAGCCACATTTCAGCCTCTGAAGCTCAGAGCAGAGAGCAGAGGACGCCCGGCTGCAGAGGGCGGACCTTAGACGGCCAACACTCCAGACTCAGGACCCCACATCCTCACAATGACTTTATTTTGACTCTGATATAAACACACTTAGAGACGCATGGCCTTCTGGGGACCAGCCTCAACCTTAGTCACCCTCTCCAACACTCCAGTTTCAGTTTAGTTTATGATTACACATGAGTTAAAAAGACAGAATTAGCCAAGGAGGCTAAGTCCCCTAGCCGTGATGTTCAAAAGCCATTAATGGATACTATGACTATTAGTATACTTTTATTTTTTATTGATTTTCAGGAAGACTTATACAGATTTTAGCTGCATGAATCTGAAAGTCTCTCTGGGCACTGGCAGGAGGCTAGTCCCTGTGTTCCTCAGAGTCCCAGCAGGAGGCCAGTTCCTGTGCTCCTCAGAGTCCCAGCAGGAGGCCAGTTCCTGTGCTCCTCAGAGTCCCAGAGAGAGACTTGTAACAAACAGAGCTGCTTTAAAGTATATTCTCTGAGCCACAGTTGAACCAATATTTAGGAAATAACTCATTTGTAAAGTGTTATTACTTTTTGATCTTTGCGGACCTTAGCACTGAAACTATTTCGGGGGCGGCCCACTCTCTCCACCCCCCTCCCCCCTCAACCCCCACCCTAGCAATCCTGCTTTGATCTCTTTTGGCGGAGTGCGTACAGTTCTCACATTTATCACTAATTTGCGCTTGTCACCACAGAGGTGTTGGGGGCGTCGGTGGCGGGGGGCTTACCGGTGCGAGTGTCAGAATGTGCCGGATCTGGTAACAGCTGATCCTAAATTTAGCCCAGAGGAGATGACTGTGGCCGGCACGCCTTCCGCTCCCGGCCACCCACACCTACCGTAACATAATCACTAATCAATACGTTATTCTGGGCAGCAGCAGGAGTATTGGGTGATGCTGGCCGGGGGTCCTCAACGTACAGTACAATAAAGAGTGTCCGATGCTTACGCCGAGGAAATTGATTTTTTTTAGGTGCGGGATGATTAGTTGATGTTCCCCCGGACAAAGGGCTAAGCTATTTCATCTGGCCGCGTCTGCCCTCAGAGGCAAGATCGGGACTCGCCATGCTTAAAATGTGAATAATGAAAATTCCACTCCCCCGGTCCCTAGGAAGCGGCTCTTTCAATGGAATGGTATTTGAATTATCTGGACGAGGACTGGTCACCGCTGTAACGAGATATGTTATTGATGGACGGGGTGGTTTGAAAAGTCACTTCCTGTTGTGTGTTGTTGTGTATACCTACGCTGTTCTTTAGCGTTAGCTGCGTGACCTATATAGCAATATTCAGGGCAATTCATTTAAATTAGCAAAGGCCACATATGTAGGTCTCGTGTGATTCACTACACGGTTATATGGAAGCAGGTTATGTGCTATACAACTGAACTGAAATTGGACTTTTTGATTGTTTGTTGTTGTTGTATTAGCTTTTGAAATATACAGTAGCTATTGGTCCTGGGGTCTATATATACTCATCAGTGTCACAAAAATGAATGTACAATGGACAAAAATGAAACAATTTGCCTAAACAAAAATACAGAAATGTTATGACAAAAATACACAATACACAAATCCAATATATATATATATATATATATATATATATATATATATATATATATATATATATATATATATATATAGTAGTGTACACTGACGTTCACCCAGAAGTAGAAAATCCTCCTATATCTTTAATTACAAAAACAAAGGCATGCAGAAATAAAAATACATAAATGTCCTCCGTTTTACTATTATAGACTGTTAAGAGTGCGGTAAAGTGCAGTAGCATAAAGTGACAGTCATAAGGTCAGAGGTCAGTGATGGATTAGGAAGTGTTCATGAAGAAACTGTTCTTCATGAATACTTGTGATGGAGAGCCGAGAGAACAAATCTGTAACTCATTTGCCCCTCACGGACAAATGGCTCTATGGGTTTTCTATCATTGCATTCCCTCTGTGTGAACCAGTGGGGCATGTCCTGACTCAAAATGCTCCATAAGCACGTGCACTAGCATGCATGTAATCTGGTTCCTCGCTGGTGGTATTGTACCTGGAAACAGAATTATCCAGTGCATTTTAATGACACCTTCTTTCCTCTCGAAGGGACCAGTCTAGTTTAGCCGCTGTGGACTTTTGAATGCACTCGTAAAACGAATGGGGCTCGTGCCGGCTAACGCATGCGCAAATGCGTTTTTTCACATTTTACTGGAGGGGCTGCTGCCGGCCATTTTATAAAAGACTGCAAAAGGCAAAAGTGATGACACATAAGTTTCAACGGCAGAGATAGGCGTCACTACGTCCGTTAATATTTATAGCCTATGGTTTGATTTGTTTAATTCTCTGATCTGCGTTGACGAATCAACAACTTTATAAAGAGATAACTACTGTTGTGTTTTAGGGCTGTACAAAATGAATGGAATCGAACACTACCAGTGACAGCAGATACAAGTTTTATTCAACTCAAAAACCAAACTTCCATCAGTAGAAAAGTACTGACTTATGCATATACTGTTGTTACGTCCTGCTCAGTTTTAACATAATTGCACAAACAGTCCCATAAACGATCCATAAAAAGGCAAAGTGCATGCGTCCTGGCAGCACAGTGCTTTAGGCTCATTTTACAGGATGTATCGCCATCTTTTTAGATTCAGTCATTTCCTCAGAGATGGACCAAGGGGGAAGCCACCTCCTCCATCAAAGACACAGCACATCATCTTCTCCATCAGTAAAATCACATTGACTGTAGGGCTCCTCTTCTAATCGCCACTTTCGGATTCATAAACGGCCCGGCGATCTCCCATCTACAGTATCAGGACCATTGTTGAACCGCGCACTAAACCCTGCCAGGCCCCACTGTTACGGCTAAGACTGAGGGTCACGGGTTGGGCATTTTTTTAATGAAATAAGCAGCAGGTCTTATGCTCGCTCTCCGTAATAGAATAAAAGGAAGCGCAAGAGAAGCCGGGTAAGTGGATTAGGCTCAAAGCTGAGGAAAGGAGATGCGGCAGGACGACGTTTGCATCATATTTCTCTTATCAAGCGCTCGGTCTGACTTATCCATCTGATCTGATGGCTTGGTGGGGGAAGAATGACATTTAAAAGCAGCAGAGATTGCAGTTCTGTTTCAGTTCACAGGCGTGGCGATCCGGCAGGGGCACTGGAAAGTCACTCGGACAGTTTTGGCTTAGTTGTGTTTTGCTCTTTTTTGTTGTTGAGGTGTTTGGCGTTTGATTGGGCGGCAGTGGTTAGTGCTTAATTAAAAGGACAGTGGTCATGATCCAGGACATTCAACATTCAACAACATTTATGGACATTCATCAACGCTTATGGACGTTGGTCATCTGCCCCTTATGCACCAATACCAATGTGTTTTCTGTTTTATTTCTTGTGTTTGAACTGTTTGATTCTCTAATCTGTGTTGGCGAATTCAACGGTTTTGTGAGGTCCTCCGAGATAACACTATACTGTTGTGATTTAGGGCTATACAAGAATAAATAAAGAAGGTGAAGAACTTGGTTATTGTTGGTACACAGCTTTAAACAATATGACCACAAGTTTCACAGAGTTCATATGTTTTATACCAAGACAAAATACCGAAGTTTCCCTTAGCCCCAAAAGACTTTTTGGGGGAGAGGGACTTTCAGATCAAAGCATCAAGTGGAAAAGTACTGACTTTTGCATATGTTGTAATGACCAGCTCAGTTTTAGTCGTAAAAGATCCATCAGGTGGCACGGGGGCTAGAGCTAGAGCCAGAAATTCATGGGTTCAATCCCAGCTCCAAACAGGGCCTGTCTGTGTGGAGTTTGCATGTTCTTCCTGTGTCTGCGCTTTGTTACTCTGGTCTGTGAAAGGCGCTATGTAAATAATGACGACTTACGTACTTACTTGTGTGGGGAGTGGAAGGAATAAAATATGCAATGGAAATGTATGAGTTTTAATGTTATCAAC